TTTGAGAAAAACACACTTCGTTAGTTTCACTAATGGTAATTTTTTATAGAAAATCTCAATCACAAATAAAATGTTCCGAAAATTACAAATATATTTGTTGTTTGATTTGTAGCTCTAGTAAATTATCTTTATCCTAATAGAATTGCGAAATCGTGAAAAAAGAAGTCAGACAGATATCGTTGATCTGAGACTACCACCCGATGCTATTGAAGGCACAGCTCACTGCAAAGTTAAATTCACTGGTATGATAAAGATAACAAACAATTATTCTTGGTCCAGTTAGCATTAAGGTATCGTAATGATAATAAGCGCATATGTCGACAAACCACCGCTCTCATACTTTCAATTAAAGTAAGGGGGTCGTACTTAATTTTCATCATTTTTCAATACAAAACATATTCATTCCTTTTCATTATTTTATCTTTTAATAAAAGATGCCTACACATTCAATCCTGTCTCTTATCCACATCTAGATTATGTTTTATACTTTTTTGAAAATGTGAATTATGGATGGCCCCCTAAGTTGTCCACAATCACAATTTTCCAAGGTTGAGTAACTTCTTGTATAAACAAGTCGAAATGACGTGTATAATGTAGATGTACTGTAACTATTTGCTACTCTGTCATAGCTAATCAAAAGAGAGAGGCCAGGATGTCTACATGTAAAAGCTTGAAGGATAAATGTGATAAATGAAAATATATTAAAGTATGTTGGCATATGAATGAGTATAATTAATGCATTATTATTAATCTAAATTTCAAAATAATTTTATCTTCATGATTGGTGCACATTAAATTAATGTTTAAAATGATTAAAACAAAGTTTTTAATGCCTATTTCACTTAAATGATAAAGAAAAAAAAATCATGTATATATGTGATAAAAGGTCCTAAAACATTGAATATGTTTTTTTCTATAAATATCTTGAAGGAAGTATGATGGGTCCGACAATTTCTGCAGTTATCGGTGATGTGAATAAGATGATTAAAAAACCAACAGGCTGTGGAGAACAAACACTAATTCGTGTCGGACCGAATGTATTTGTGACAAAATACATGGAACAGACCAATCAAATGACTTCAGACTTTGAAAAGAAAGCATTTCGGTATTTGCGGCAGGGGTACGCCATGGAATTGAGTTTCTTTAAACCAGATGGATCGTTTTCAGTTTGGGGACCATCACATGGGACTGAATTTACATCTGCTGATACATCCAGTACATGGTTTGTATATATATATATATATATATTTAGTAAATGAAAATTGGTAAAGAAATACATTAGTTTCTTTATTTAAAAATGCATGATATCTTTTGATGATGATAGTGATAACAATAAAACAAAAACTGTAATTAATAAACTGTAAATGTTAAATAAAATGAAACGATATCATTAATGATGACTTGGATGGTAGTGGCGATAATGGTGATGATGATAGTAGTGATGTTGATGATGACGGCAGTGGTGGTCATGATGAGTGATTCATGATGACTGCCACGACGGTGATAATAATTTACAAGTACTCTAGTAATAAATTTGATTCAGTGTCTGAAGTTGAAAAGTAGCTCAAGTTACATTAAAATGATTTAGAAAATTTATATTTACTTGTTAGGTTGACAGCTTTTGCAACCAAGATCCTTTGCCACACCAAAGACCTAATTTATGTTGACCCCAAGGTCATATGTAGAGCTATTGATTGGCTGACTAACTCTGCAAGTGGTGTACAGCGTGAAGACGGCGCTTTTAAAGAAGTATTTCGAGTGCACCATCGAGAAATGACTGTTAGTAATTCATATCATATTTGTTTATAATGAGAA